ACTTCACTGGAACATAATGGGCTCAATTACGTTCCATGTTTTGCGGTGTGAGTCAGCGTTTGTCTTCCAACATTAGAATGGAAACCTAATGAGAGCGGGCGCGAATGAAAGAGGGCAAGAAAACAAGTTCTGAGAGCCCAGTTCCAGTCCGTCAAGCGACAGGCCGAGCTGAAATACTGCTGTCAGTTCTTATTACTCCCCGGAGACATCACAGTCCTCGCTTGGCCATTTTTTTTCCCTCAACCGCATTTTGTGTAGTTATTGCTCTCCCGCTGCTAGTTTCTAACTGGAACCTCTTTGCAAGGCTTCAAAACATCCTCATTTGAAGACTTCATTTGTTGTTTGTGTCGACCTCTACTTAACTAACACATGTGAACACTTTTTGGGGGGTTAGTTTCTCCAACCAGCGACCCCATCCTCAAAATGTCCAATTATCGAATGTCTCTCAGAGGATATCTTGAGTCATGTGTGTTACTCTTCAATGTGTAAAGATGGGATTTTCCTTCCCCAATTTGCTCAGAGAATGGTGGAGGCCGACAATCGGAAATGTGTTCAATCGTTACGATCGCAAATAACGTGAATAAAAAGATTTTGTAGTCAAAGGCAAATTTGGCCAAGCCGCCAAACGAAACAAAATCATAATCAATGTGTCAATCACATCTCTGGCCCTTTAACTTGCAAACACTTTGAGGAGTGGTAATGACCCAAAGAGCCAGCAGAGGGTCGTGGGGGAACCTTTCCAGAAAAAAATAAATAAATCCCCCATGTCTGCCAACTGTTTACAATGGGGTAAGAGGTTTATTTACCGTCACCACGGCCCGCAGCATACTCGGACAATCGGAAGCATACATTTGAACAGCAAACATATTTATGTATGTGGATCACAAAGTAGGTGTTTTGAGGGTTAAAGTAAATTCAAAAAGTAAACGACGATTTTGAAAATATGAGGACGACGAGGTTTTGCGACTCGTTACATAGCAGCTACGAATGACAAACGCCCCCCATTTTTAGCTGGCGTCACCCAAGTGCTTGCACTTCACCCAATAGATAATTCTGCAATCAAAAGACATTCCTAAATGTTGAATTAACTGCTCCATAGAAAGAAACAGCTGTTCAGAAGTGACAGGTGTAGAAAATATTATCATCTAAGTCGCTGCTTTGCTTGATATGTTTGTTGATACAAAAAGCTCTTGTTCTCCAGATTTTGGACCGAGAGGTTGACTTTCTTAAAAAAACAAACTTCCCTATCTTTCACTGGAAATGCATTTACAATTTTCTTAAAAGTCGTGTTTCAGTCAGTTTCAGAGTTCTTCAAGCAAGTGGGAGGTCTATATTGAGGCTGAAAAAAAATATGGCCTCTCTTTCGCAGATTTTCATTATCAAAGGTGGTTCTCGAAAGGTGGGTTCACCGTACTTTGCTTTAGACACCTCGTTCAGATGACAAACATGAAACAAAAGGAACATATTGGATTAGTTTATCACAATAGTAATTCCGGAACCTCTGCAGTGACCCAAAGATTGCTGCCGTTTAGCTAAAGCGATTTAATGTACCGTAGCAAGTCTGTGTTTTGAAACACTCTAATGAGATGCCAAGTTTTGATATAAATCACAGTTGCACGATGGCTACTCCCTCGTTCCGACGCCCCCCCACCCCAGACTCCCGCGAGGTCTATCTAAGGATGGATATGCAGAACATGTCCTCTTCCACGGCTGCCTTATTCTAATAACCGCCATTAACGACATTAACATTTGTCTTCTTTTTTTTTTTTCTCCAATAACATCACTATATTCAAATTATGTCCCACGAAGCAGAAACGATAACCCTAATGGAGTTAGCTGCACCGAGAAAAAGACATGAAGGACATAAAAATCAAGAGCAAACATTCAGTTAGAATGGCCCTTCTATGATTATCTTGCATATAAAGAGGACTCTATTTGACCTGAAGTTATGATGTGTTTGCGGTAAGTACAACCAAAAAAAGTTGGAAAATGAGCGAGAGAATGTTGTGGAACACGAGTGGAAAGTTAACAATTAGCGCATGTAATGAGGCGAGCGCTTTGTTTGGTGCTAAAGCGAGCCGAGCGGCGCTTTCAGGGTGGTTGGCGACAGACTATGCAGCGTTGGCCGCAGAGCGAGAACGCTTGAAGGAAGTGATACACATGCGGTCGCCAGGAATTTGGCCTCAATCTATTTGAATGCCAAAGTTCATTTTGGTTCAAGTTGCGCCATCAGTTTAATCATTGACAAAACATTACAAGTACTCACAGTGCAACATTCCAGATGAATCCCACTCATCTGTGTTAGTGGTACAAAGACCTCTAGTCTAGTATTTTTTTTTTGCTCTCTGTAAATACCACAAGAAGGCACCAAAGCCGTGTCTAACAGGAAAGTAGTAATTGGTGGAAAGGAGGTATGTTGAAGTGATGAATCTCAACAGAGACTAAAATCTTTTTACGTCCAGCAGCAGCTAAGTTATCATATATAGTGCATCCTTTTGCTTTCGATAAATCCATTTAACTTCATGCAAACAATGAACGCAAACTGCCAGAGACGAGCAGGTGTCACTGTGATATAACATTTCAAGCAATGTATATTTGAACACAAGCAGGAAAAGAAAGGCATTTAGATTTTCTTTATCCTCTGTGAAGTGCAACTAATGTTTGGAATCAATGGACCAGTGCTAAAATGGTTCAGTTCCTACTTGGAGGAAAGGAGTTACCTTGTGACCATTGGAAGTTTTGATTTTGATCGAATGGCTATGACATTTGGGGTCCCTCAAGGGTCAGTCCTTGGATGCTTTTTGTTCATTCTTTACATGTTACCTTCGGTACTTCAGAACGCCAATGTTGGCTATCATAGTTGCGTAGTACAAAAAGCTGTTGTTTTTTGGGGGGGGGTGAGGCTGGAGCGGATTGAGGACATCAAGTGTGGCCGTGAAACTAATTAAATATCTCAAGTAAATCACAAAATATTCACTCCTCTTTTTTGGTTTGTTTAGTAAAAACAACTCACAATATCGAGATGTTTTTTCTTGGGGGGGGGGGGGGGGGGGGGGTGGAGGGTTAATATAAATGGGATCAGTGGAAGAAACTCATCTCCCGTTCCCAGACACCTTACATTCCAGTCTCTCGCTCACTCACGCACGCACACGCACGCACACGCACACACACACACACACACACATACACACACACACACACACACACACACACACACACACACAAAGTGAATTTTATCTGGAGGGTGGACTGTTTCCATTGACTTTAAATTTCAACACCAAAGTACGTGATGTGTGCGGCTTTGTATCTCGTTGAGTTGACCTTGTGTTGTTCCAGTCATCCATTGGTCCCATTCCCATAAATCACACCTATCATTGTACTTTGTGTCGTAATTCCCAACCAACACATGCTACTGATCACCATGAGTGGAACCTGCTAATATTTTCGCCCCAAGCGTTGGTCTTGACAGGATGAGAACAAAGACCAGATGGTAAGAGAATCAAAAAAAAAAAAAAAAAAGATGCTTCAAATTAAAACAACAGAAGAAGTCATGAGCTAAGACAGACATGTGTCGCGGGAAAGACATGAATCATGAAAACCTGTTGTTGCATCAGTCTGCGGAATGTAGATTTTTAACCATCGCTCTCAATTCTTTCTACCTTCGGTCCTGCCCGATCCATTATGTCGACCTTGATTAGGCTTGCAAAAGACAAAAAAAAAAAAGACATTTTACACATAATGTCACTTTTCTCATTAAACAGCGGCAAATATGCGATGAATTAGAAAAAGAAGAGCTTGTCCAGATAAACAAATTCATTGCCGCCTCCTCCTCCTAATGTCAGCATTCTTTTTAAATGTCATCATTACCTCCAACAAGATATCTCCAAAGCCTATGAGCAGATTTGGAGCAGGTTTTAAGGATTTTATCTTCTTATTATGTTACAGAGTGTTTTGATTCATTTCACCGAAAAAAAAAATCTCTCTCAACATCAGTTTTCAGTTTTGAAAAAATCACAATGCCGGGTAATCAAGTCATGTTTCGAGTCCTGTACAACTCAAATTGTATGACCACAATAGAGCTGCCATTTCCTAAATTAATGAAGAAAATGCATCTTTTCACTGAATATTGGTCTAGGTCAAAGTTTCTCGTAGCCCAAATCTTTAAGTCACTCTCGCCTAAAATGTCGAAAAAAGGACTCTGGTTCTCGGTGGCTCAATTGTGGAACTCCAAGCCTATATTGCAAGATCTCTTTGTAAAATATATGTATCGAACCATTTCTAAAGCCTCATTAAATCTTTCTATTAACCCCACGGTGTGCCACGCATGACCTAGAACGAGAGTTGAGTGACTGACAGATGATGTGCACCATTGATAGATAGTGCTTCAACGACTGCGCACCCAAAGACCAACAGAGAAGCGCTTTTTGCTAATCTGCTGATAAACGGAGATCGTGATGGAGGAGGAGATGAAGGTTGAACAAGGACAGGCCGACATCTGCGCCAAGTCATTCGCAGATGTCGTCAACCAGCTGGGAAATAACACAATCACGATCCAAGCGAACAAAATACTATGATTACAATCATCCAACTAATAGATGTCGGAGTTAAACATGCATTTTGCTTGTGTTGAAATACGGCCCAAGTCTGTTTGAAAAGGGAGTTTTCGTGTGAATGCAACGCATCCGTGATGTGACATGCGTGTACACAAAGCACGGCGTCGAATGACGTGAACCGAAAAGACGACGTCACATGGTGCAGTGTTTACGGAAGTAAATATGGTCCCGGAGAGGCAGGAGGAGGTAGAAATATTTTGAGGACGTGAGGCAAAGCTTCTCCATCTCCTCATTTAACGGAGACGTCTATGAAAGATGACGTCACGTCATTGCCATGCTTAATAAATGAACCATCTCTGTGGCTGAATTACTACTATCACCACAAATGTACCCTTTTTACTTCATTTCAAGTGGGATTAATCCATCTATCCATTTTCAAATCCGATTTATCGTCACAAGGGTCGCAGGTGTGCTGGAACCAATCCCAGCTGTCTTCGGACAGTAGGCGGAGGACACCCTGAACCGGTTGCCAGCCAATCAAAGGGCATACATAGAAGAACAACCTTTTGCGCTCACAATCACACTCAGGAGCACTTCAGAGTGTTCCATTAACCTGCCATGTGTGTATTTGGAATGTGGGAGGAAACCGGAGTGCCTGCATGGGGAGGACATGCAAACTCCACACAGGAAGGCCAGAGCAGGAATTGAACCCTGGACCTCTGCACTGTGAGGCGGACGTGCTAACCAGTTGATCACTGCGCTGAAGTGGGATTAAATTAAAGTCAAATGTGAAGAGAACAAGTGTTACACAAAACAACTGCAGATTGGGCTTTTACAGGTTGAACGTGTGCAGTTGAGCGTTCATACTGCAGACGCATTGCCGACATATACAATTTTAATTAATGTGGAAGAGGCCCATGTTGGGATTTGGAAAAAAAAATCTAAATGTTCACGCTGCATGAAGAGATAAAAGATATGTGACGCATATGGGCAAAAAAAAAACAAAAAAACAATTGAGTTGGATTTTGAACATAGCCTTATGGCTGGTGGGTGTGGAACTCCCCGCGATGACTGAGGGATTCGCTGTAATTAACTACCGCATCCAACTTGCTATTAACCTCCCCATTCCGACACCCCCCTTCTCTCTGTGCCTGTTCTCTCATCACCCTGTCGGCAACACGCGGCCCGCTCTTTCTGCTGCGCATTAGTTCTGCTGGTTTTGAAGCCACCAGCATGCTTGATCACTTCCAGAACCGCGGACCCGGGAGGAAGCGTATTAGGGAGGGAGGGTTGTGGGGGAGTAATAAAGAAATGATATAGGTCTTTTTTTTCCCCCCACAAAAAGGTCAAATTTCATTTTACAAGCCCTTTTGTTTAACTCTGATGCATTACTATTCATGCTTGCTCTTCCACTTGCAGGCTTCTCGTTAATAACTCACACTCCCCTAAAAGCTAGATTTGTAAACACTGATGAACATCTTCAAACATGACTTTACCCTTAAATACATAATACAGTCAGGAGCTTACGGCTAAGCACGCACGGATTCCACGGGTTTTGATGACGCGTTTGGTCCTCGAGTGCCAAAGCTCTTGTGAGCCAAAGCAGACAAGGGTACTGTCATCCTGTCTCTTCCCCTCTTTCTGACTGCCAATCACGAATCTAATTTGACATGAATTGTGTCAATCCAAGAGGAATAGACACCCTCCTAAAAATGTTTATGATTGTCTATCGAAGCCACAGGATCGTGGCAAAAACAGACGTTTGGACTAAATTAGCACCCAGGTACTACAATGTGGTGGCAAAGCACTACTTTTGTCTAAACAAAGCCCCTCACCCATTTCACCATAGTTTGTTAGCCATCAGAAGTTGTCAAAGCACTACTTTTGACCAAATGAAGTTCCTCAACTCACCTAGGAGGTTTTTCAGTGACTAACAGAGAATAGGTTCATGAAATAATCAATGAATAGGTGAATCTTCCAGTCACAACTATGTGGGGGAACACGATGGATTATTGTTGGAATAGAAATTCGAAGTTAAAAAAATAAAATGCAGTTCAGACAGTAGGAGAGTACATTTTTCCCTTGAACGTGCGTACACACAGTAAGTGGTTCCTAATGTTCAGCCATGGTCATTTTTCTCATGCATGTTTCATGGGAGCAATTTTGCCTTTATCATGTAAAAGTATCCATAAAGTCAAGAAAGGCAACTTATAATCACATGACCACATATATAAGGAATGCAGAATGAACTTCCTCCCAAAATGTTGCCATGTGTTTATCTTTAATTTAACATTGCAGATCAAGATTTGTGATGGTTGAATTTCGCCAAGCGTGACACAGGTTCATTTGGACCATAGCGCTTTTTAACGAACGACACAAGGCAGACGGACGCTGGGTTACACTTACAGCTCTATCAGTCAAACATAGGCAGGAAAGGGAAAGCAAGACAGATGGAGATGAAGAGAGACAGACGGTACCCATTCAGCAGGTGGGCCAGCAGAAGAGGCACGAGAGTGATCCGTAAAAACATCTGCTGAAATTTCCACTGACTGCTTTGGAGTGCTAGGGCTTATTAAACACGACCCTTTGTTAAAAGTGAAGTGATATTTTTGATTCAAATGCATTTTCAGGTTTGTTAAATCCACGCCAAAGCAACCTTAAGACTGTTTCTGCCAATCAGAAGTCTGAATAACATCATTCGTGGAAAAGGTAGAAAAAGAACAATGGTATATTAAAGAAAACTCCGGAACATACACGTGGACTGACTTATAAGAAATGTGTTCATAAACCATAACGGGCATGCGGACACAGCAGGTGGCGCTACAACTCCGAATCCTAGTTTAGCCAAACAAAAGACTGAAGAAAGCTATGTGAGGAAAAAAAAACATAACAGTGAATTGAAAAACAGGGAAATGTGTGAACATATCTGAAACTGAAAACAAAAACTATGACAAAATGTGGGACTGACGAGCATTCCAACTCAGGTGATAATTTGTGGGATATATGTTCCACGATAATAAATATTTTATCAAAGTATATCAGCGCATCCCGGTTCTAACTGGTACCTGGTAAATGGTAAAAGCTTGATTTTACAGCGTCAGGAAATGCAACATCAAGGAGTTCAGTGACAGACAGGCAGTCTGTAAGTAGACAAGGCTCTATTTTTGTCTAAATGGCACTTGACAGCTTTTGCATTGGAACTCTTCAATGGTTTTGCCTGTCACTATACATCGCTGGCATAGATAGATGGAAAAAAATCAATTTGTAGTCAATGAAATTGGATCATTGCCGGCTGCACGTTAGTTGGAAATCACTGCTTTGAAAATATTTTGAAATATATACCCGCAAGGACATGACAGGATAGCATCTTGTCATGTATACCGCACTCATTTGTCTTATATTATACTTTAATTCCTTTTCGAAGCACCATCCTCTTTGAAATATGGCTCCATGTATCAGTGCAGATGGTGTTCTTCACCACAATACGCAATAGCGTCTCGATCCTTCTGTGATATATTGCAATGCTCTGTCATTCCGATGCCTTTACGGACCGGTGCTCTTTGCTTTGACAAATCAGCATTTTTTTTTTCCAATCATGGCTTCGTCCCATACGAGCAGCCTGCCCCTCGCCGCTGCTGTCGTGTTTCCATTGAGTCTGCGGTCAACCCGCTGATTGATCAGCGGTTGCCAAGAGGTCGCAGAGTGCGTTTAAGGGCGAGGCTGACGTCTCAGTGTCCGTGAAGGCAAAAAAATGGAACTCGGACGTGACTCTCTTGATGACATCTGGAGCACAGCTGCCCCACGCTACGTGTGTCATCACGAGTCCTTCAACCTACCTTCTTCAGAAACCCTTGTCATCTCCCCCCCTCCCCCCAAAAAACTATGACAGAGATAACATAGATCTACTCTTCTCACATGCTTTAAACACAACAAAATTAAAACCTTTTTTTTCCAAGCAAGACCTGGCAACAGCTCGAATAAAAGAACAAAATATTCTTTAAATGTTGCCAGTATCTTAAGAATTACATAATTTGTGACACCTCAAAGGCTTCACAAAGCAAAAATATCATCTTGTTTCTAATTCAATTTTTAAGTAAAGGAATGCAGCTGAGATCTTGAGGCCTCAAAATTTCCTTAAATGTGGACCAAATTATAAGGATAATTACACTTAGTTAATGAATATTATTCATTAATTATTTTTCAAGGAATTCGATGCAATTAAGTTGACAAACACCATCGGCGCTACAGCTGGCTAGCGTTAGCTATCGGAATGCTAACATGTAACGCAAGACACCATAAACCTTGCAACAGAAATTAGCATAGAAATTACGATAATTACACACTTTCAAACAACTGCTACTGTAGAGCACATGGGGCAGCAATACATACAAACAAAGTAGAGACAACAAAAGAGGATTTAACATTGTATATTCCAACAAAATAGGCTAAAATCAAATCATTGTCTCTGACAAACATCAGCTAGCTTAATGCTAAAATATAATGCGAAACACCATAGACCTGGTGACAATTACCAAAAATGTTGCGCTCGTTGCAGACACTGAAACCAAACCGCTATTTAAACACACTCCGGGCAACAAAACATGCAAACACAGCAATCAAAAGAAATAATTCTTGCCAATAGGTGACTCTAAATAGCCAAGTCAAGAGTTAGTGATTACATTAAGTAAGTTTTTCATGAAGAAATCCTCCCCTCCTCCTCCAACAGCAATAACCTGTCCACACATGCCTTCAGATGTAATAAGTCAATCATTAGGGAGGAGAGAAACACATTCAGAAGGTGCTCCATCGGTACTCAATCGCATCTGCTGCTAATCGGACTCCCGAGATGAGGCCGGGAGGCGTTTGGTTAAGAATAAAACGTCCGACAGCGAACAAGAGTGGACGTATCATACAGTGAAAGGGAGGGTAACAGTGTGTGTGTGTGTGTGTGTGTGTGTGTGTGTGTGTGTGTGTGTGTGTTTTCCATTTCGAGATGATTAACACTGCCCCCGCTATGTGTGTGTTAATAGAGAGCTACTATGGATGGATATTTTTAGTCAAACATTAGTGAAACGACACTAATGACAGAGTTTCGCTTCAAGAGGGG